CGTTCTCTTTTAGTAATATTTACTTAAAAGGGAAATTTGGTATGATAGATTTTTTGTTTTGTTTTTACACGTTAAGCTATTTTGTAGGATTTGGATATGAACTAATCATTGGTTTCTAGTTGTTGGCTTAAAGTTAAGTAAGATAGTGTAAATTTGTCCTAAAATCCAATTTAGTAACCAACTAGGCTCTTTAGTACCCCTCAATTCCCTAGTATTTTATTGGTGCATCTTCTGTCTTCTTTGGATTCTTTTTTCATAGTCCCCCAAAGCTTTGGCTATAGATGATTACTTGAGGTCATGTCCTTCTTTTAGATCCCATAGGGCGTATAGGGGGAGGGCTCGACAGAGTGGTGTCAAGGAGACTAGACTTAGAGTTTGTTCATTGAATGTAGGCTCATTAAATGCTAGGATGCTGGAGCTGACCGACGTTTTTAGTAATAGGAAAATAGATTTTTCATGTATTCAGGAGACTAGGTGGAAAGGGGCTCGCGCCAGAGAGTGTAATGGGTACAAGTTGTGGTATTCAGGCGTAGATAACACTAGAAATAGGGTGGGTATCTTGGTATCCTCTAGGCTCAAGGATAATGTAGTTGAAGTTTGTAGATACCGGGACAGGATCATGATGATTAAGGTTATTATAGAAGAGGAAGTGGTGAATGTACTTTCAGTGTACGCCCTGCACGTTGGCCTAGGGGAGGGGGAGAAACGTTGCTTCTGGGATCAGCTAGATGATGTACTTAGGAGTATTCCGGAGGACCAAACAGTTTTCATAGGGGGAGACTTCAATGGCCATATAGGTAGTGCAACCGACGGGTATGACGGTGTTCATGGGGGTTTTGGTTTTGGTATTAGGAACAAGGAGGGGCGTACGTTGCTTGAATTTGCTACTACGCATGATATGGTGGTCTCTAACTCCTTCTTTAACAAGCGAGATGTGAACTTGATTACGTTCCATAGCGGGAGACATTATACCCAAATCGACTACATCCTGGTTCGAAATCGGGATCGATGGGCTTGCATTGACTGTAAGGTGTTCCCTGAAGAGGCATGTGCATCACAACACAGATTATTGGTTTTGGTGTTCCGCGTACACCACGGGCGGAGCACTCATAGGAGGGCTAAACTTGGTAAACCTAGGATCCTTTGGCAGAACTTACATGGAACGACAGCTGATGACTTTAGGAGTAAGGTTTTGTCTAATACATGTTTGGGAACTACAAACTCAAATAATGCAGATATGTTATGGAAAAATATGGCAAATTCCATCAGAGAGGTGGGCAAAAACACCCTTGGGTTGTCAACAGGGAAGGCCAAGGAGCATAAAGAATCGTTGTGGTGGAACGACGAAGTCCAAACTAAGGTGAAGACAAAGCAAACTTGCTTCAAGGAGTTTCTACAATGCAATGATAACGAAGAAAGATCGAGAGCTAAACAAAGATACAAGGAGGCAAAGCGGGAAGCCAAAAAAACGGTTGCTAAAGCAAAGGATAAGGCATATGAGGAAATGTAAAAGAGATTAGACAGCAAGGAAGGACGAAACGACATCTTCAAACTCGCAAAATCCAGGGAGAATAGGAAAAAATATCTAGGTAGCATTAGGTTTATTAAGGACAACAATGATATTCTTTTAGTGAAATATCATGATATTAAGAGGGTTTGGGGTAGTTACAACTTTGGCTTATTTAATGACGGTGCCTCTCCCTGTAGAGATAGTACCGTTGATGGATCAACCAAACATTATACTATGGCCAATGATTGCCCTACAAGTAGGATTGGGTTTGAGAAATTCAAAATGGCTCTTAGAAAGATGGAGAGGGACAAAGTTGTCGGCCCAGATCAAATTCCTATCACTGTGTGGTTGGCCCTAGGAGAAGAGGGAGTTAAGTGGTTAACCAACATCTTTAATATTATTTTAGAGACTACCAAGATGCCAGAGGAGTGGAGAGAGTCTACGGTGATACCAATCTATAAGAATAAAGGAGATCCCCAACGTTGTGGCAACTACAGAGGTATTAAATTACTCAGCCATACCATGAAGCTTTGGGAAAGGGCTATAGAGGCTAGGTTGAGACAGGTTACTAGGGTTTTGGAAAACCAATTTGGCTTTATGACAGGCAAGTCTACTACAGAGGCGATTCATCTACTTCGACAAGTTATGGAGAAATATAGGGGAAAAATATAGATCTTCACATGGCGTTCATTGACCTTGAGAAGGTGTATGATAGCGTTCCCTGCGAAACGATCTGGAAGACCCTGGAAACGAGACGTATCCCAACTGCTTATATCCGGACGATTCGTGATATGTACTGTAGATCTACTACATACGTCAGGACTACAGTTGGTGACACTAGGCTTTTTCGGTGGAAATCGAACTCCTCCAGGGGTCGGCACTTAGCTCTTACATCTTCGCCTTGATTATGGACGACATCTATTGTGCGACACCAGACGGTGTTCCATGGTGCATGTTTTTCGCTGATGACATTGTCCTAGTTGCTGAAACAAAAACTGAGCTGAATAGTAGACTGGCTACCTGGAAAACTGCTTTGGAAGAAAAATGTCTAAGGATCAATATTGAAAAGACAGAGTATTTATGTTCAAACTTCAGTGGGAACCAAAACGATGAAGATGTAGAAGTATGCATAAAAGGACACGTTCTCCCCTCAAAGGATTGTTTCAAGTACCTAGGGTCTATGATACATAAATATGGGGGTGTAGATGATGATGTTATACACCGTATAAAGGCGGGATGACTAAAGTGGAGGGCTGCAACTGGAGTTTTTTGTGACAAGAAGGCGCCTCTAAAACTTAAGGGAAAATTTTATAGAATGGCAATAAGACCAGCGCTGTTGTATGGATCAGAATGTTGGGCAATCAAGAAAGATCGCGTAAGGAAGATAGAGGCCGCAGAAATGAGAATGATTTGATGGGAATGTGGTAAGACTCTGTGGGACATGACACCAAACTCTGCTATTAGGATGTCCTTAGGGGTGGTACTTGTATCCAAAAAATGAGGGAGGGAAGACTACGGTGGTTTGGGCATATCCTTAGGCGACAACCATCGGATGCGGTGAGGAGGGTAGAGTCGATTACAGTCGACGGTGCCAGAAGGAGAGGACGACCAAGACGGAAGTGGGAAGACTTCTTGAGATCTGATTTGAAGGATTTAGCCCTTACCAAGGTCATGACCTCTGATAGGAAATTATGGAGACTTAAGGCCAGGGTAGAAGAGTAGTGCGGGTCACATCTATAGGGCGTGTCATCTCTGTCTTCTTTTAATGCATTTATAGTAATTTCCATGACTTCTACTTTTTATACATTTCTGTCATTTGAATTTATGAAGGCTTAGAACTAGGATAGCGGAGTAGTGTTACCTTAGTTTAGGTTTTATCCCATTGGACTTTATTCCTTCTCGTAGCTTGCTAACGTTGACTACTGTGTATCCTTCTCTTCATGTTTTCTCTTTTTAAGTTTAGTCGGGTCTTACGGTTCTGTCTATATACAGAGATTTTTTACGCAGGGATTTATTTGCAGGGAGTACTTCCTAGTAAAAACGCGCATATGAAGACTGCATATGAAAACTATTCAACTATGTATTTCTTTATTTATTTATTTATACATGCATTGTATTTTATCTTTATTTTAATTTTTGACTGCTGGAGGTCTTCCACGAAACCTGCTCTCAACCATGCGTTGGGGGCAGCCTACTACCCTACCTCCCCCTTACCCCATTGCATATGGGAATAGGGATTTTTGTTGTTGTTGTTGTCCTTAATTAACTAATATAATTTGTACGAACTAACTTATTTCAGTAGTTAAAGGAATCGTTGTTATTTCTAGAGGTCATGGGTTCGAGCACCAGAAACTGCAAGGGTGATTTGGCGTTCATTGTCAAATTATTGAAAGTATTTAAAACAAATATTGTAGTGTAATCACCTTAACTTAATAAAAAATAATATAATTTAAACACTTAATGTTATTAAACATTATTATTATTATTATTATTATTATTATATTTATATAAAAATATAAGTATAAAAGAATAATATCACATAAACCACCAAATATAAAATTATCCAAGAATATTATTACAACTGTAATTATGTCTAATACTTATAACTTTTAAAAAAATAATTAACATAATGGCTTTTTTTATTAAATTAACATAATTACTTTAAATTTAAACATAATTATTATTCACATTAAAACCAAATATTATCATCTGATTCTAATTAAAATATCCAAGTCTATTAAGTTATAAAACTTCTTAAAAAAAACTTAAAATGATTCTCGATTCAGGTAAGAAGAATTTGTATGACAAACTTAAACATTTGAATATACTATTTATAAATTTCAAATATTTTAAAATTAAACTTCATATTTCCTATAAATAATATAATATGAGAGTATACCAATTTTAAATTTAAATTCACAAAAAAAAAAGTTTAAAAGAAATCTTTACAAATAGCCATGTTAGTATTACAGATGCAAAATCACGGGAAACAAAACGTCGTGCATTGTGCTTTGGTGTGTGGACCATTGACTTAGATAGCAATCCACAATTGTAATAATGCACACGATATAGCAGTAATGGTATAGTTTGATATTCTTATTGTATGATTGTGATATTAGTAATCATTACAATATCGTCTACTATATTTATGATCGTAAAAAATATAATATAATTGAAAATATGATTACAATCGCTATTTAAATAACTGATACAGACAGAGCGGTGGTATGGGTGGATTCACATCATAATTTGTCTTATTTGGAAGACATTATCATTTCATCTTCTTCTTCTGATAGGGGAGCAAAACAAAGAGAGTTTTCTGTTAAGTATCCAAGTTTGCCTTTGTTAATTAAATTATTTCTATAAACTATTCATTATTCAAATGTGGCTGATCAACAAACAAACTCAAATACGTAATTGCGAATTTATGTATGAAATTGGCAGCTTTAGATTTGCTCATTGATACTCCTCTTCAAGCTTTTATCTTTGAACCTTTCACTCTTTTTGTCTAATCAATAATTGAGGCCATGGCTCAAGAGCAGCCCTCCTTGACTGTGCCTCTCATTGAAGCTGAAGAAAATAAACAAAGTTTGGGAAGAAAAGTAGAGGAAATAGAATCAGATTCTTCTCATTCCATTTCAGCCACCAACTCTTTCTTCAAAACCTGTTTCAATGGACTTAATGCTCTCTCAGGTTCTATTTTAACCTACACTAAAACCCAGAATCATGCTTAGTTTCCGGTTTTTGAATTTCTTTTGATAGTTCTGATGTGTACTTTTTGTTTAACTGATTTCCAGGAGTTGGGATATTATCAACCCCATATGCACTAGCTTCAGGGGGATGGTTAAGCTTAATTCTTCTTTTCACCATTGCAACTGCCGCATTCTTCTCAGGTTTATTAATCCAAAGATGCATGGATTCAGATTCCAATATCCGAACTTATCCCGACATAGGCAAGCTTGCATTCGGGAACAAAGGGAGATTAATAGTATCCATTTTCATGTACACTGAGCTCTACTTAGTGGCCACGGGATTCTTGATTCTAGAAGGCGATAATCTTCACAATCTGTTCCCAAACATGGAGTTTGAAGTTGCAGGACTAACAATTGGTGGGAAACCAGGGTTTATCGTAATCGTAAGCCTCGTGATTTTGCCTACGGTTTGGTTAGATAACTTGAACCTTCTTTCGTATGTGTCAGCCAGTGGGGTTTTAGCTTCTGGAATCATACTTGTTTCGATCATATGGACTGGTGCGTTTGATGGGATTGGGTTTCACCAGAAGGGAACACTGGTGAATTGGGATGGAATGTTGACTGCTATCAGCTTATATGCTTTCTGTTATTGTGCACATCCAGTTTTCCCTACACTTTACACTTCAATGAAGAAGAAGCATCAATTCTCCAATGTAAGTATTTGGATAGTGATTTGGATTGCAGGTTTTTGAGGGAAATTTCATTTTTGTTTTCCCTTTCAGGTTCTGGTTGTATGCTTTATATTGTGTACAATCACTTATGCATCAATGGCAATCTTCGGGTACTTAATGTTCGGATCACAACTTCAATCACAGGTAACATTGAATCTTCCAACAAACAATATCAGCTCCAAGGTGGCTATCTACACCACCCTGGTGAACCCCATAGCCAAATATGCATTGATGGTCACTCCCATCATCAATGCCATCAAAACCCGGTTTTCGTGCAGCCATTACAGCCGGCGTTTTCTCGGCATCATCATCGGCACCAACTTGTTGATCAGCACCGCATTGGTGGCTCTCGCCATCCCGTTCTTCGGTTCACTGATGTCCCTCGTCGGAGCCTTTTTAAGTATCATTGCTTCTGTCATACTTCCATGCTTATGCTACTTGAAGATTTCTGGTATTTATAGGAGATTCAATGGGGAACTGGTTGGAATTTGCCTTATAATTATAGTGGGGATTTGTCTGGTCATATTTGGTACTTTCACATCTGTTGTAGATATCATAGGCAATTTTTAAATAAGAATGGTTCAGGTATTTGATATGTTTAAGATTAGAACCAACGACTCTTCAAACTGCTAATTGATTTTGTAAGCTAATTATGTTGTTATAATATAATGTATTCTTCGGGGAGTTTTTCATAGCTTGGTAACATGTACAATTGTACCATCTTAGTTTTTTTTTTATTAATCAAGGTGGTAAGTCCTATTTTATAACTCAAATATTATTTAAAACTTTTTAGTCTAGTCGAGTTTGTAAAATTCGTATCAAGTTGAGTTATTTTAATTTATGTTTAAATTTAATCATAAATATTTATAATATTATAGTATTGATTGATTTCAATTTAAACGATTTTTTATAACCATATATAATATACATATATATACTTCTTCATATTTTTTTCATATGCAATATACATGTACTCCTAATTCATATTTTTTTATATGCAATATACATGTATAGGAGTATCGATATCATTTATGGAATATCGATATTGGACAAGAAATACTGATATCTTAAGCATAAATATCGCTACTCTCTTTAGAAATTGCATATATTTCAAATGAGGTTCTTATGGTATCCATAATGTATAATTAATATTGGTATAAACCCTATAAAATACAATTTGAAGGCCAAAAGATCATTCCAAATTAGCTCAAAACACATAGTTTGATACTAATTTATAAAGATAACATCATTTTTACACCATATTATGTTTCATATTTACACGAATATACAATCTAATAAATATCGAGATTCAAATTACTTGAAAATATTCTTACTAACAAAGTGTTGATTCCTTAATTCCCTCTTTAGTAGTATCGGTACTACAAGCACAATATCGATACTTCTATACTTGTAGTATCGATACCCTTCCACGGTATCTATACTCATTTTCGATTATGTAATTCCATCTCAAGAGTGGTATTGATACCTCCACATTGATATCGATACCCATGGTATATATACTACCCCTTCAGTATCGATACCCCATAATAATTTATCCCATTTATGCCTTATGATATCGATATTGTTCTTGCAATATCGAAATTGTCACATAATTTACCTTGTAGTATTAGTACTTAACCAACCAATATTGATACTACCAACCAAGAGAATGCTTCTTTAACCCGAAATTTCAATACTTTACTTAAATTCCCTTTATTTAACTCCCTTCATGCTTTTAAACTCAACTATACATATTTATACCATTTTATATCCATATAACACATAATCATCTTCCATATCTCATCATAATTCTTGAAACTAAAAATCTTACCAAATTTCCAACATATTCTTAATTCGCTTCTAATACTTCTAATTTCTTAATTATACCCTTGGCAAGTCAATAATGACCTCAATCTTCATTTACTCATTCTATTTCAATAATTCTCTCAAAAACTCATTTTACTTAATCTCTATCTTCATACACATTTTTCTCCTTCATTCTCTTGAAAACTCGGCTAGCATATCGAACATCTCCGCCCTTCGCATACATATCAACGAGTGCAGTTCCCAATTGAATAGTCAAAAGTAAACCTCTCTGAATAATTTGCAAATGAAACAACCTCCCTAAGGTTAAGAACCCCAACTCTGCAAATGCTGAAAGCATTATCACCATCGTTGTTTCATCCCTAGCAAAACCGCAATCTCTCATCTTGATAAAATACCCAAGCGCATCCTCAACGCAGAAATTCTCAACACAAGCAGTAATCACGGCGTTCCACGAAACCACAGTTCTTTCCCACATTTCATCGAACAATTTCTTTGCATCCATTATCATTTTACAACACCCATAAAAATGCACCAAATTGTTATTAACATAAACATCATCATCTAAACCATGCTTTTACAATCTCCCCATGAATCTGCCTCCCTTCCTCTAGTGCTTCAACCCCCGTGCACACCTTCAAAACAAATGGGTACGTAAGCTTATTGCGTTTAAGTCCTCGTTTTCGCATTTCTTGAAGTACCCAGATTGCGTTTTGGGGAGAATCGCTTGAAGCATAGCCTCGGATGAGCATAATCCATGTAGACGGAGTTGAATTGAGTGAGTTAATGAGAATATAATGCACGTAACTGAGGTTTTTAAAAGGAGATAGAGAAGAGAACCTAACAAGCTCAGTGAGAAAAAAAGAATCTTGGTGTAGATTAGAGATGACGATTTGGGCGTGAATTTGAGAAATATTTTTGATCGAAGAACAAAGCGTTAAGAAAACCAGACATTTACGCTTTTTCGAAAAGTAGTTCCGGTTACAAATTTTGGAAGGCACTGCCATTATTGTCTTGAAAATGAAATACTAACATTTAAGAAATATAAAGCTTATACGCTTATACAATGACTCCAGCATGTTGGGAATTACTATTATTTTAGTAGCACAACTCAACTGAATTTGATGATTAAAAAATTTATTATTATTCTTTGAAATCTTGAGTGTGATCATCACATACATTAAGGATGTGATCGTTTAACGTCGAAAGATTAAATTTTTTAAAAATGACATTATCTTGTATTCACTCTAAATTTCTAAATTTTATTATTATTTTAATAATTATTTTAATAGATTATCTTAATAGTTAGAAGGAAAAAAATAAATAACAAAATAAATAAATATTGAGTTTGGAGAATGTCACCTATGTCCGAGGACTATACCAAAAGAGGGGGGGAATGATGAAGAAAAAAAAAGGAAAGAGTGTAAAATATTTAATATAAAATTTAAAAAGGTATATATATATATTGTAATAAAAAAATCTTATTAAAAACTGTTACATTTTAGTTGAGATAATTAATATTTTAAGTTGAAATTGAAAATATTTATTTTCCGTAACATATTCAATTATAACCAAAATTTTTATAAATTATATAATTTCTTTGATTGTAAACTTAACCCTGTCGCAATATAACATTTTTTATTACTTTCTAATTTTTATACATCAATTTATAGTATCATTTGTATATTTCTTTTTCATATCATAATTATGTATAAAATGTTTTTATTCGAATAAAGTTTAATTCATTAATAATACATTTTTTGTGATAATGGGAGGAGAGGAGAGAGTTTACACTCCCATCTATTAAAAGTTTCCTATATTACTTCATTGGGACAGCAAGACCATCAACCATACTATAAAAAATTTAAATGTATATATACAGTAATCTTGGTTTTTTAATTAATATTTTATATCATGTGTATTCATAACATATTATGTTGATACTTCATTTAGGTGATGGAACAAATCTTTTTATTAATTTCTGGACTCACAAACCAATGATTAGCAAGCACCCCTCAAACATCCAAATACAACAAAAAAAAGGAAATCATCCCAAAATATTGCCACTCCCCCATCAACATATCTAGCTCATAGACTTGCAAAGGATACATGTTCTTTTTTTTCCCCTATAGTTTTACCTCGAGCCGAAGCGTCTATGTATACGGAACTCTTCTTTCCTGATCAAACTGCATATTCGAGCAATTCCATAACAGCCCTGCAAAACCCTTAGACAGGACTGCACAAGGAGACTTGCAACAACCCATTGGATTACTGTGTTTAACGATTCCCATGCACTCATCAGATGAATTCGGGAGAAGATTATCTAACCTGTTAACAGATTGGCTCGAGATCCACCTATTGCTCTTGGAATTCGATGTGCAATTAGGGTTCGGAGAGTTCGAGAAGAATGGTTTCCAGGACTCCATTTTATCATCATTGCATTCACGCAACTTCCTCTTCAACCCAGGAACTAGTTTTAATCCTGTCATTTGATATCATTATAATAATATATCACAATTATCTATTGTAGTCCATAAAATTAGCAAACGTGTCTAGAGGTGAATATTCCGGCATACCGGGCAAAGTGTCATCAATTGCACATGACTGGGACTCCAAATCACCACCGCTACAGAAAACATTTCTATCTTTATTCGGCCCTGAAATTCTGCAATGGGAAGAGAGCAGGGAACAGATGGGACTCTAAGACATGGCATAGTGTGCATAAAAGGAACATTATTTGGCTTACAGCATTCAGGAAGATAGGGAGCGTGAATAAACCAATAAATAACACAAGGTATGATTACCGGTAAATACAAAAACGAATATGATGAAGTGATCACACAAGTGTTAAGTAGAACAATGAATGACAATATATGAAAAATATTACAATAAGAGTTTTAAATTGTCACCTAAAAATAAACCGAGTAATAGTGAAACAGCTATTAAAACTTTTATCATCATACAAAGTGCCGAGGACAAAAAAGCAAACCTATACATATGCTCAACAAAATCGTCAATTAAAACAGGCCAAGCACCTGCAAAATAACCAAACAACTATGATTTACGGGGCATAAATACATGAGAGAGAGCCCATAATACAGATTTCAAGAAACTTAATACCTTCAGGATCATACCCTTCTAGGTTTTCATGTACACACCGACTGAAAGCTAAAACTTGCTGCCAGGTATCCTCAGAAATATTGTGCCGCTGATTTTTCTGAAAGAATATGAAAAACAGTAGCTTGCCTTAATTGAGAGATTACAGTAGTTCATTAGCAGGTATACTTTCAACTTGAACTAATAGTGCAGTAACAGAACATATGCCCAGCCCAAGTGACGACTATCATGAATCAGAAGCAGTAGACGAATGACTCCCTAGATGATATAATTGAAGAGCTAGGTAAAACTTATGGAACACAATACATGATTAACAACCAACATCACATCACAACTCTAATGAAATTTTGCTGCACAAAGTGAAGTAGGCCTAGACATCAAAACAATAACCAAAAGTTTCAAGAGATGCCTCTTAGACAAACAAAAAGTGGTAGTAGCATAGTATCAGTCTTACTCATACCTCAACAAAGTCGCACCATTGGTTAAGCAAACGGAACCTGCCAGCCAAGACTAATCTCCAAGCAGCAACTGCCCTGCTTACAGCTATCAATCATGTCAAAAGAGAAAAAGAAGAGATTCAATTCCAAGACCAAAGAAATAGTTATTACAGAGAAAAATCAATAAAAGCATTTGCATTTAACCAAGTAATATACAACAACTTACTAATATTCTTTTGACCGTTCTCTCGGCATACGAAGAAAACAAAATCATAGAAGCGTGAGAATTCAGAATAGTCTACCTACAAAATAAAAATCAGCAAGTCAAATATCAGTATCAATAACACAGTGTCAGCAATAACTGAGAATATACTTCATAGTACAGTCTCAAAAACTTAAATTGGTCCTTCAAAGAAGGTCAACGAAGAGGAATCTCACCGTCAAGTCCAGCTGTAGCATGATCTTGAGAAGTTCATCAAAGACTGCATTCCTGTCAAAGGAAACATAATAACATATTAAAATGAAGGCAAGAAACACTAGTGTGTGATAGGATTATAACTAAATAACCAATAAAGAATACTGGATACGCAAGATATGATTATGTCCAAGGTCATACTATTTTTTTCACTCAAATATTAAAGTTTTCCCTAGCTTAGACATAAACATATATGAAATTGTAGTAGCCTACACATTTACAATGTGTAAAATGATATAGGAGACCACAACAAACGATCGAGCAGGAGTCCTCAAAATTCAACCTTAAGATGGGATTGGAAGATTTTGATGGTTGCAGCTAAATTAAAAATATCTTCGACAACTCCTCCAAAGAATGACACTAGGTTCACATGGCTTCCCTAAAATAACAAATTGATTCTTTCATGCTAACAGTTTCAAATGTCTTAAGACTCGTTAACAGAGTCTCTAGTCATCCTAATGGCAAATCAGAATTGGTAAACTTATACATACAGATTGTATTGTAGACATGCACACTTACATTGTCTGCATCCTTGCCTCTGCCATCTTCAAGAGCTGATTCAATGCATCCCTCGAGAACTTAGCTCTTTGCAACTCCTCATCTTGTCGGTGGCCTTTTTCACCAGAAACATATCCAAATCCTGTTCTAAGCTCTGCAAGATAGTTCAGAAGTCAATTAAATTACAGCAAATTAAAATAAAAGGTTTGACCATTTTAGCCAATTCTTTAAATAAATTAAATTGCATTGCCTATATTTTTTCCTATTTTCCTATTAAGTGTGTTTAGGGAACTAAATTATATAAAATTTTCCATACTTAAACCAAATTCTGAATACAAAAAAGGGAAGAAAAATGAGATCTAATATTTTCAACTCTCTTCCCCCATAATTATTAAACAAAAGAAGTAAACTCAAAAACCCTTAATCCATTTTCCAATATTTTCACCCCAAGAATTATCCTAAGATTAAAATCTCAAATTTCATTTTGGACAGCAATCTAAAAAAAATTGAGTATTTCCTTTTATAAGAAAACAATGAAAGAATAAAGAAATAAAATCACAAGAACAACTAAAAAAAGTAAAAAAAAATACCACAGAATCGCCGATAAATCTCGAAGATGTCAAATCTATTCGGACCCAAGGAGTCCATCGTATTATCAGCTGTTTCCGGAGCTCCGGCGAGTTGGGGTTTCTTTTGTGTCTCCTTGTTTGAGTTTGAATTGAAAAAAAATAACCCACAAATAAATTTAAAACTGAACTTTCCCTTTCTCAGTGTCGTTTTAAACGTACAGTACCCTCTCTTTCTGCATTTTATTGCAGAAATAAAATATATTCTTGAAGTTTTGTTTTTCAATTTGGATTTTATTTTCAGAGAGATATAAAGGAAAAGGGATACAGAAAATTCTGCTTTTAGGGTGAAATTGAGGATTGAACCGGATCTTACTACCGGTTCAGGTGAACCAGGTATGGGAATAGCATATGACGCAGCGAATATTCTGTATCTTGCTCTCTTTGATTATCCACCGCCTAGATTTCTTTCATTATATGTAGAAAAATATAATTTGCTTAATTAATTAGGTTGATGTGCTAGAGTAAATGGTTTAATCATTCAAAAATTAACGATTAATTTGGATAATATCAAGGCATTATGCTAAAAAAAATCTTAATGTTGAATTAAATATTTACTTTGATTTTTATTTCTTAGAGTATTTAAATTCTTAATCGTTTTATTTTAAGATAAAGAATATTTTATGGATAGAATCAATTAATTAACAAACGGTTAATACTTATATACTTTTTTTAGGGTTAAATATTTACATTGAGGGTTAAAATACTTCAGAAAAAAAATATAACTAGAATTACTATTTTAATAAACGTTTAGAGTTAATTTTAACATTATATCTAATATCAAATTCTTATATACTTTTTTTTTTTGTTTTCTTTATACCTAAACTCTGCATATATCCTTTAAAAGATGTGATCATTGTAAACCTACCACAATTAAATTTATATCCCAACTGTAAATTCATCTAATTTAATCATGATGATTTATCTTAAAGATGAATAAGTTTAGTAACAACTAGGTATTTAGGTCAAATTTAATGGTCCATTTTTGAAAGACAAAATATTATGGATGAATTGATATCAGTAAGTTTTTAATAAAAAAAAATTTAAATTAATATATATATATATATTATATAATTATCAAATTCAAATATCAATTAAACATTTAAAAATCAAATTCAAGTGCAAAATGAATAAAAGAAGAGTTTATAGGTCAACTAAATATTTTTCTTAATAATATGAGATGATTATAAGGTAGTATTTGTTCACAATATTTTTAACCAATTAATAATGTATATACACTCTACAGACGTAACTGCTCGAGTTCAAAGCCTCTAAAGAGAATGTTGTTGTCTTTATTTACTTAGGCCACTTAAAATAAATATAGATTTATAACATATTTTTTCGGAAGAATCTACTCTTAAGGTTTTCTTGAGAAGAAAATAAAATGAAATTATAATATCATATTTTAACACTCAACTTGTACGAGAAACTCTTAAATATTGAGAAAATCACTAAGAATTTTAATTTATAAAAAAATATATTTAAAATATTTAAAATACTATACGAGATTGATGAAATTTTAATTTAGATTAAATTTTATTTTCCTCCCATGTAATATTTTTCATTTTCGATTTGAAAATATTATAAATAGAGGAAGACGAGGAGAGTTGTGATTGGAAAAATAAAAATAAAAATAATATTGAAATAAAAGCTAAAGATAAACAATAAATTTGTGTGTGTATCCATTACATCTTAACAATGTTTTATAAGTTTTAAAACTTTTATTTGTAGAGGAAAACTAGTATTTTAAAAAATGCGTTTAAATTCGTATGTGGTTTTTGTACATGACAATTAAATTGAATATGTAAAATTTATATTTTAAAAATACCAATTTAATTTAGTTAATTAATACATATTAACATTGAATTTCGCCACTGCTTCTAGGTTACTGAATAATGTTTACTCATGAACAAATAAGAAAAGAAAAGGATGAAGTAGTTTGGAAGGCACATGCTATACCTTGCCTTATTCGATATTCTATTTAGAATTTCCGATTTGGAAGTACCAAAGTCAATTTGTAATGACAACTCTGGATTGTAACCCTATTCACTTATCATTAAGTTTACAAATGTCACGTTCAATTATCAAAGTGATTCTAGAATTTACGATTTTAGAAACGCGACTTGCTCAAAAATTTAAAACAATTTATATAAATATATATATAAATTACAAGAACGGGGTTCTTTTTATTTGAAAACCAAATACATAAATAAAATATTTACAATAAGACTCAAATAAAAATCATGATCTCTAGATGTTCACTCAAGTTATCCACATTGTACTATGATACTCCCATTTAGACTCCTCTGATGATATCATTTTCATATCACGATCCTCGAAACTTGTAACATGTGAACGAAAAACAATATGAATGTTGAGCTTACAAAACTTGAGGATACAAATATATTCTATTATATTTCAAGAATCTCATAAAAATAAGTATGTGAGTCAGATATGAACATGTAGGCATTAAACATATACATATAATCCTCAATTTATGGAGTAACATATTACAACTCATTACACATAATTGTATTCATAAGCTATAACAATGATAGTAGTATATCTAATATCACTATGTAGTAAGTGCTACGACCCACTCGACTGTAATATACAAATTATATATCATCTGTTACAAAATAACAATCCGAGATAAAAATAAAAATAAAATAAAATAATTTGTATTAATATAAAAAAGACAGATTAAAGTAAAGAACCCGAATATTGATAAATATTGAATTTGAAACTAGTTGAGGCTAGGGATGTAAACGAGCCGAGTCGAGCTCTAGTATTGTTGAGTTCAACTCGACTTGAAAACTCTGAAATAGAGCTCGACTCGACTTAAAAACTCGCGAGCTTAAAATTTTCAAGCTCGACTCGAACTCGAAATCATGAACTGAAGCTCGTGAGCAACTCGAAAAGGCTCGAAATGAAAAAAATCTTAAACTTAACTCGATTGAAACCTCAAACTCGAACATGAACCTTAAATACATGAAATCTTACTATGTTTTTAAAAAAAATCAATACATAAATATTAATATTATTAATAATTTATTTTTAAAAAATAAAATCTTAATATATTATATTTTCGAGCTGCTCACGAGCTTTTCGAGTCAAATATCGAGCAGCTTGTTTCGGATCGTTAAGAACTCGAGTCGAGTCCATTCGATCCGAGTATTTATCGAGCCTTGATCGAGTCGATATTGAGTAGCTCGCGATTTGTCTCGTCTCATTTACAGCCCTAGTTGAGGCATGCAACTACGCAGTTTCCTTAAAACAGAATTTCAGCCACTCCTTAGTACTCTAGATCCTTTGGTCGTCTGTCTCCCAAGATACAACAACAATATGACTAGCGCAACGTAGCACAACTTCTTTGGATTGATATTTGTGGTCTAAAGCCTCCCACAATTTCTTTGTCATTTGATACGTGGAATACACTGGATACAATGAATCATGTAAACAATTCAAGCTATAGTTCCGACATATAAAATCAAAATGCTTCCAAACTTCAACCATATTGAAGGCGGTGATATTATCCACCTCTCTTTCTCCCTCTTTAAAACCAAGTGAATCTTCCTTCAAGAACTTAGCATAGTTCACCATGGTCAGATAGAACCACATTTGTGTTGCCATATCTTGAAATTTTCTCCACAAACTTTTGATGGCCTCTCGCCGTGGTTAACAGCCACTGTTGATTGATTCACATTCAGATTTTGATTATGAACTGGAATCATTATTCTAGTATCCAAGGTGGGTAACCCGTTAGAATATGTTGTTTCTATTGTTATGTAAAAGAAACGGAACTAAAATTAGTAATCAAAGTTACTACACGATAATTTCTATAAAAACAAAATTGTCCACTCTAAGCAAACCCGTTAAAATAGCATGATAAGTCCCGAAAATGAAATAATTTGTTTTCTCGATTTTTACAAATTTTCTGAACTATCTCGGATTTGTTTAAGAAAGGTAGAAGAAGAAATTTGTCTTAAGATTATTACAACATAACAATATGAGACGAGAATAAAATAAAATAAAATAACTTGTATTAATACCGAAAGTATACATATTAAAGTAAAGAACTCGGATATTGACAGAATATTGAATTTGAAACTTGTTGAGGCTTGCAGCTACATAGTTTCCTTAAGACATAAATTTGATCACTCCTTGGTGCTCGGATCCTTTGGTTGTTTGTCTCCCAAGATACAACAACAATACGATTAGCGTAAACCCTTTCACCAACCACCATTGATCATCGATGATCGTTGTTGATCGCGGCCATCATTGGATGTCATTGAGACCAAACTTCACTGGTTGAATCATCTCGACCTTCAGATCACAGATCATGAGGCTGATTTCCCTAAATATTCCTTCGTTGACATAGATCTAACAGAGATCTTTCCAACTTCTCTTCACCGGATCTCATGAATCTGTTGTTCGTTAACACTACCTTTATACTATGTTACTCCCGCCATCGAGAGAAGGATTGCCATCGTTGGGATCTCTTAAAAACCTTATATATGGATTGTTAGATCAAGCCTCTAGTCTTCGTCAGCTCCTTTTTTTTCTTATTTCTTTTGCTTTTGCTTTTGATTTTCAAGTAAATCTTAGTACGCTAGGAGGAGGTCGAAGTCGCCATCGTCAACGCCGATGTTGTTGTTATCTGGGATAAGGTCAATGTATATTGCCGATGTTACTTGCTGACTATTGCTTACTTGTTCAACTATTTATAGATCTGGGCTCATCTTTGGGCTAGAGTATGAGTGCTTATGGAGCGAGTCGATTACGAGTTGGGTAGTGCTCAATTTGTGCTTGTTAAAAAAATTATTACTCGATTCATGCTCATTAAAAAAAATTTATTGCTTGTCTCATTGCTCATTAAGTTCATTGAAATTTTTATCTTATTTTCTTAACTATAGGTAAAATATACCCATACTATATAGAGCTTAGTATAAAATAAGTTAATAAATTTAACCAAAACAATTATCAAAAGAGTGTATGAAACAATTTCAAAGTCTAAATTCTAATGTAACAAAACAAAAATATATTAAAATAATAAATAAGGTTTGACTTTTAGGTACAATAAAATATTAATTAATAATTTAGTATTTTTATTAGAAAATTAATAGATTAGTAATTTATCATTTTTTTATTATCTATCAGTAAGTTGACAATTTTTTGAATGAAATATTTTTTTAAAATAATTACTAAAAAATATAATAAAAAATTAACAAGCTGCTTACGAA